GAGAGAGTGTCTTCTCCCCATGTGACTCTCCTTAGGCACACTCTACATCATCGATCACTTTCCTCTTTGGCCCCATAATCTCCTTGATTAGAAAATTTAGGACACTACCGAGTTACATGATGTAACAGTACAAGTTCTCATATGTCCTGAGTCTTAATTGACCTTAGAAGGCTAGGGCCAGCCCTGAGTTTTTGCAGTTATTTATTATGAAACAGATTTTTTAGTAAAAGCACACAGATGCTGTCCAAAGAATTGGAGGGAACAAGACAAACATGGTAATAAGGTTTGTGAACTACCCATGCTATACATGAAAGAATGGGGCAATTTCAGAGGTGTCTACAAATAGCTACACATTTGTTCTTAACATATACAAGCTTCTAACTTATAGATAACATTATCCTTCTGACTTTGTCTCCTCTTCTTCAAATTCTGACAACCCCTACTTCATGGTGAATGTAACATCCTACTCTTCTCCTCATCATCTTCTTAAGCCACTGTGAGTTCTATTCATTCTGCCCCTTTTTTCCCTCCATCTTTCAGAACATCGAGGTTGTATATCTTTTTATAACACTATTTCTTCTGACACTTTATCCCACTCTTTCTTCTAGAACCTCATCTTTTCTCTCCTGCAAACATCCTATGCATATTTTGACTAGGACATTAGAATTTCTTAAACTGACCTCTGTCCAACTTTGGAACCATCAAATAACCTGAAATATAAATGTGGAATCCCTTCTGGGCCTAGTTTAGTATTAAAATTAGAGAGAAAATTATAATTTTAGAGGTCTTGATTCATTTGTTAAGTCAATTACTTATTGATTTAAGTCCACTATCTAGAGGGCCAGATTCTATTTCACACTACATAAACAAGGCTAAGACAGTGCCTTCATTTTCAGGCATTTATTGTAGAGGAACATCCAAATAAATTACCCATCATAAATGCAAGAAATAAAAAAGACTTACAGGAGCGAGACAGTATATTTACTCAAAAAATCAGGAAGGGATGCATTTATTGTTGCTTATATGTATTGTATGCTAGATGCTCTTCTAAGGGACTTGTACCTATTCATTTAATACAATAATCTTGTTCAGTAAGTACTATTATTATCTTAGTTTTATAACAAGGCACAGAAAAGTTAACTAAGTTGATCAAGTCATATAACTAGTAAGTTGAAGAGCTAGAATGTGCGCTCAGGCAGTCTAAACCCTTATATGATAATAGTAATTATGATACCCAAGTATTTCTTTTGTTCTATGAACTCAAAAACATTCTAACAATGGATGTACCAGGGACTATAAAAAGTGACAGATGTGTTGATTAATGGGTTTTGTAAGGAAAAATTTTCTCCTGTCCATGTTAGTAGAGTTCACCTATATGAATGATTTCCTAAAAACCCTTCTGCCTGGATCTGATAATGATTCCACAAATCTCTGGGCGTCTTTTCATTTCTTTTGTCCCTAGCAGAACTGGAAGGAAGGAATCTACCAAAGCCACAAAGTTACAAAGAGAATTCCCATTCAGACTTGTTGAACTATATGCAAGAATATGGCCACTCACCTTTGGGTAAACATCTTTCTGGTTGCTTTCGGGAGGTAACCAATTTACATAAATTTCCAGCAGGACCCTGCAGGTCAATAGTGCTACATTCTGACAGCACACTGGTTGTATCAGACTTCTGCACATCATAACAAAGGAAAGAACATTCAATTACAAATAACCGGTCTCACCATGGTAGTACCTCGTTCCTTATTGTCTGATTTGTTAGAAATAAAAACAAATAGGCAAAGGCTTCTAGATATGAAAGCTACTGAGCAGGCACCCTGCTTTTGGGTCCTTTTCTAAGTTCTTTGATCTGCTTGAACTCAGGAAAGAAATATCCACCTACTCTCAAAGACTGAGGAATGGATGACAAGTACTCAATCTTTCCTCTCTACAAATCATAACTCAAATAGTTGGCTTCACCCCAGTTAAGGAAAGCAGGCAATAAGAAAGTTACTATACTGAGACTATAATTTTCCCCCGTGTCAGCTCATGGATTAATAGGTTTAGGCAAATTCTCACTATTTTTTCTCATAAGATATTTTCCAAAGTCTACAGACACTTTAATCATCAAAATTTGGAGATATTACTGGCATCAGAAAGGCAAGGATATGGCTAAAAATTCTGTAATTTACATAGAGAAGCCCACCAAAGCAGTGTCCTGCCTCAAATGTCATAGTAGCAAAGCTAAGAAAGTATGGCCTACACTCCTGCTTAAGATTCTGGAGGGCCAGCCAGGTAACTCAGTGGATTAAAGCACCTGCTTAGGCAGATGCAGGGGCCAGGGTTCAATCCCCTGGGGCATGCTGAGAGGCAACTAAGATTGGGCATGGTGGCATGTGCTTGTAATCCCAGCACTTGGGAGGCTGAAAAACAGGAAGGATCACTACAAGTCCGATCTGTGTAGTGAGACCCTGTAAGCCTTATACTAAATATGTTTTAAAAAAAAAGACTCAGTTCTAGAAACCTTTTCTAGATTAATTCTGATATTTTTCCATAATGGCTATTCTGGAGAAGGTGTGTATATGAGTTACATATCCCTTCTGACTATACCCTAGAAAAATTACCTTGCGGAGATTTTGTGTGGCCAAAGAAACATCTTCAGAGAACACATCAATTTCCACACTTTGAATTCCTGGGCTCATGGGCTTCTTGGTATCCTGATAAAAGTCATATCCCTGACAGAGATGTACAGAAGAAAATTAATATTCTCCTAGGAAATCTCACACATGAGATGAAACAAGTCTGAAATCTACCTCATTCTCTGTTTATCATGAAAATTGTCTCTGATACTTTTTTTCTTTTAAAGAAATGCTGCTAGAAAAACTCAGCATGAAATAATTCTGGAAAAATGATTAGACAGAACTGATATTGAAACTTACTGCAAAGTTACATAATCAAAATAGGAACAAAACTTACCAAATAATTCAGAGAATAAGCTTTTATGGGGATTTAGTATATTTTAAATATGTTCCTTCAACTAAATAACTAGATATTTATTCAATCAATAGTACTGGTATACATTGCCATAACACAGTAAAAAGAAAACAATCAAGTGACAATCTGATGTAAAAACAGAGTGAGCCATTCTACACCTGTGAATTCCACATTCTGACCATAGCCACCCAACAACCTTAAACCTTTCCTGTTTCATTTTCTCTTATTTGAGGCAGCAGAGGTGTCATCCAACCAACTGACCTGACTGTGGAGAGAATGGAAACCCTAGAAAATCAGCAACAGCAGGGAGAAATTATAGACCTGATAAAAGTACTAGCCCCAGTAAAAGCCCATGGTTAGTGTAAACTACAAAAACAGTAGGGTTTTGCTCCAAAAATGACTCCATGGCAGATGGGAGCTGGAGAGGAAACTCAATGCAGCACCCAATAGTGCTGAAGAATTTTAATCAGATACCATGTGGCGAAGGGGTTAACTGTTTAAGACTGAGCCAGAGAAAAACTATAGAACAACTCTACTTCAAGGCTTTCAATATTACTTTCCCATAGTGACAGATTGAGAGACAACCACAGGAGATTGCTGAAGACAGGGTTTGGGCTAGAAATAGGAGCTGCTGCCTTCACGAGAAATTTAAGCTCAGAGAGGGAAGGACATAGGCTCTGGCCTCTGTGGTAAGAAGCCTGGCAAGTGTGGCTTTCAGAGGTGGTAGGATCTAAAAGTTCTGGCATAAGTACATCTGTCTGCTTGAATCCCGGTCTACTGCTAACATCCAGCAGAGGGTGGTCTGATTGCTTTCCCCCATCTGCTAAGGAAGCAAGGACACACCTCAGCTTGGACAGCTGCCAGTCTGGGGCATAGGAGAGGTCTCTATAGTGGGGAGGTAGGAACCTCATAAACCCACTGAGTATAAAGCTAATCAAAAATCATGACTTGGTAGATTCTAAGATTGCAAATCCTGGAAAAAAAATCCACTCATTCAAAAAGGAGAGGAATTTTAGGGGATGGAATCAGTTGTTTTCTTTTTCTTTCATTGGTATTTGGGGAATTGGTTTTTTTTTTTTTCCTTTTTTCTGTGTTCTTTTAATTCATTTTTTCTTATTTTTCTTTCACTTTGTTGTTTTTCTTCTTTTCTGTTATTATCTAATATTATTAATTTCCTTTTATTCAATAGGATCTTTTATCACATTTATCTTGCCTCATCTTCCATTGATTGATTTTTCAAGTCCACTTTTTAGATTCTCCACTTCCCTACCCGCTTTATCCTTACTAGTATAATGATCAAGTTTTATTAATCCTTAGATAATTAACTCTATAGTATTACTGTTTAATATTGTTCTGTTGTTAGTGGAGGTACAGTTGCTGCATTAAACAGATATTTACTATATGTCAATACTTAGCCTGTCTTAATGTTTATACTATAGTTACTATACTATATACTATAGTTACAGAACTTTTTATCTATGGCTAAGGGTGTTACATTACTGGCTGTCAGGATATGTCAATAACAAGTTTTCCTTAGATTACTCTCCCTGATGTAATTGCTATTGCCAACATCTGGGTTGCCTTGGTTTTATTAACAATATTGGACTGGAGAGGACCAAATACAGTGAGGCCTCCCCTCTTACATAAATAAAGTGGGTGGATCTTGGGACAGAACAAAGGCCCCAAATTAACCATGAACCACTGTAAAGTGGATATTAACTAGAAAGGGCTCCATATTAACAATGAAGTCTTCCATTATAATCAATCCATAAACTTTAGCACAAGAAGACAAAATAACAGAAACATGAAAAGACAATGGAATGATTAAAAAAAACCTCCCATCCCTGAGCCAGCGAGATAGCTCAGCAGACCAAGCATCTGCTTCAGCAAGTGCAGTGACTAGGGTTCCATCCCAGGTCTTCCATGCCATTCCAGCTCCACCTATGTTGAGCCCAAGACAGAGTCCAGGCATGGTGGCGCACACCTATCATCCCAGCACTGGGAAGGCTGAAAATAGGAGGACTGGCATGAGTCTGGGCTGCATAGTAAGACCATGTACCAAATACACACACACACACAAAAAAAAAAACCCTCCCTGAAAGCTTATAAATGTGGCACTGAGAGAAAGGAAATCAACAGCCACATAACAAAATTATTTGAAAGGGTAACAGAGGACATTGGGGAAAAAAAGAAGCAGATCAATAAGATGCTTGCTGAACTTAAAGAAGATATAAATAAACAGTTAATGAACTTAACAAAACAATCAGCAAAGTTACAAAAGATACTAATAAAAAGCTAGCTAAAAGTTTTAATATTTTTAAAAGCTAGATGAGTTAAACAAAATGATGCAAATCACGAACAAACAGTTGAGTAAAAAGTTAAGAGTCCACAACAAGGAACCAAACAGAAATCCAGGAGATTAAAAATTCTATTAAAAGTTCAGCTGAGGGTTCAATCCACTCCTGGGGCACGCTGAGATGGCAACTGAGACAGGGCGTGGTGGCATGGCCTGTAATACCAGCTCTTCAGGAGGCTGTAAACAGGCAGATCACTACAGTCTGATCTAGTAACTGAGGCTTGAACACCTATAGACGCTTCCCTAAAATACAATACGTAAATAAATAAATAAAAGTTCAGGTAGCAGAAGTGAATAACATGAGGACAGAGTATCAAAACTAGAAGATATACCTGGTGTCAGAGACCAATTATTCAGAAATACCTAAAAAAAAAATAAGAAAACAAAACAAACAAAAATGGATTTGCTAGCTGCTAGATGATCCAAAGAAGACCAATCTAAGATTAATTGGATTTAATGAAAAATTAGAATGCAATACAAATGACATTAACTTGCAGAAATAATAATAGAAAACATTCCAAATACAGGGGAAAATGTAGCATATAGATAAATGAGATATATGGAACCCCAAACAGTCACAATCAGAAAACTATCGCTCCACAATTTATATGTTAGAGTCAAAATATCAGAAGTCTAACTTAAAGAGCAAAATATAAAAGCCGTTAGAGAAAAGCAAAACACAACTATAATAAAACATCCTTTTTTCCCACTGTTTATATTAATTTTATTGAGAAACAGCAATGAGACGTTTTAAAACCGATTAGTAGGACAGTTTCAATACTTAATACATGGCATATTGCTATCTTCTTAGTGATTATTCATAGTACAAGATGCAGACATGATACCCTGTCCAAATACTTTAGTACAAATCTATCTTCTCATTGAATTAAGAGAAAGTAGCTGTATATCTACCCTATTTTGTATATACAGATACAAAATGGTCCTTCCTTTATATCTCCCCCTTTTTTTATTGTTCTTGTTTTTTTTGGTTTGTTTGTTTGTTTGTTTTTTGGTGGAACCAGGGATTGAACTAAGGCCCTTGCGCTTGCCAGAGAAGCTCTTATTCCACTGAGCCATCTCCCCAGCTCCCTCCTTTTTTGGTTTAGTTTTGTTAGGGATGGGTATTCCATTGCCATTTAAATATTGTAGCTGTGTGAATTCAGCAAAATATTCCAATATAGTCCAGTAGTCCATAATAGTAGGGGGTTATCTGTAGGACTGGCAATGTCAGAAGTTGTTGAATTGAGTCTTTCACAGCTTAGCATATTAATTTGGCTTTAATTTTTATACCTCATTTTTATACTTTTCTGCTGGATGGTTAAGACCAAGATAAAGCAAGACCTATATAACAAGTAATGTTACTTTTGTATCTGATAAGGTCAGTCAAGTTCCTTCAGGATTTATTCTGTAACCCTGTACTGCAGTTTGCAGATCCTCTGCCATTGTCAGCCACGTGGATGAGTCATGGCCATTGCTTGATCAATTTGCTCTCTGTGAAAGCCTGAGAGAATGTTTTCTCTCCATGTGACTCTCCTTAGGTACACTCTATATCATCGATCACTTTCCTCTGTGGTCCCATAATCTCCTTGATCAGAAAATTTCGGACACAACTGAGTTACATGATGTTACAGTATAGGTTCTCCTATGTCCTGAGTCTTCACTGACTTTGAAAGGCTAGGGCCAAAATAAAACATCATTCTTATTAGAATTTAAGCAGATTCCTTAACACAAACATAAAGGCCAGGAGAGTCTGGCATGAAGTATGCTTAAGTAAATGCAAAAGGCTAAAATTATCTTGCGAGTTTTATTAGACTCTACAAACCAATTCAACGATTTGTAGTGTAATGAAACTACAAATCAATGACAAAAGAAACCACAGAAACTATGCAATCACAAGGAAATAAAATAATTCTCTCTTGAACAATTATTGAGTCAGAGAAGGTACCAAGGAAGAATTTAGTTCATAGAATCAAATTATAATCCCAGTATATCAGAATTTATGGGACACAGTGAAAGCAGTCTCAAGAGGAAAGTTTATAGCGGTGAATGCCCATACCACAAAAATAGAGTGAGCCCAAATAAGTAAATTAATGATGGGGCTCAAGGTCCTTCAAAAATAAGAACAATACCTCATTTTTATACTTTTCTGCTGGATTGATCTCAGCCAGCCCCAGGGGCAGGATCAGCACAGCAGGGGCAGGATCGGCCTGGGGATCAAACCCCTGGCTCCTGTGCCTGCTTGCAGGCATTTTAATCTGCTGAGCTATTTGGTTGGCCCAAACCAGGATGATTTAAAAACCCTGAACAAGCAAATAACAGTCAATAAAATTGAAACAGTAACAACAAAAAACTCTACCAACTAAGAAAAGCCCAGGACTTAATGGA